TAGCAGAATCCAAACCTGTTGTAGTATCTACAATGGTGGTTTTCAAAGTGGGCAGTACCATCCCCTGTGGGGGGGGGGATGCCTTAGGGGGGGCGCTAAGAGGCAGGGGGGCTGGCAGGGGGGCGCTAAGAGGTGGCAGGAGGGCGCTGGTCCCGCCAGCTCACCCCATTGACTGTTGCACTGCTCCGGAGCCAGTGCCTCGAATGTGGCAGAGGCGGCACATTGGGAAAGTAGAGGAAAGCCAGAGTGGCTTTGCTCTACTTTCCCAACGTGCCACCATTGCTGCATTTGAGGCGCTGGCTCCACAGGCTCACCCCATTGAGCCCCGTGCACCGCTCCACTGTAACAGTCAATGGCATCCGTGGATCATCTGGGGGGAGGCAGAGGAAGGTTTTTTTTGACCACATGCCCAATATCCAGGATCCCACTCAGCCAAGCCTGCCCCTCTTTGTAGTTGCCATGCCTGACAGCAAGTTCATAGGCTGCCCCTCCCGCCAGGGATCAGCCTCCCAAGCTGCCCCCCCAGGACACTCAAGCCGTAGAGGGCGGTGCTGTTCCCTCCTTCCTGGAGCCAGTACAGGGCAGGGTTTTGGAAGCACAGGGCAGGCAGCGGCGGCGGCAGCAGCACATTGGGAAAGTAGAGCAAAGCCAGAGGGGCTTTGCTCTACTTTCCCAATATGCCGTCATCGCTGCATTCAGGCTCACTCATTGACTGTTGCACTGGAGTGATGCAATGTGCTCAATGGGGTGAGCCTGCAGAGCGGCGCATCAAACGCAGCAGTGGCAGCATGTTGGGAAAGTAGAACAAAGCCACTCTGGCTTTGCTCTACTTTCCCAACGGGCCACCGCTGTTGCATTCTGTCTGTCTGTCTGTCTGTCTGCCTGCCTGCCTTCCTATCTACCTACTACCTGCCTGCTTGCCTTCCTGTCTACCTGGTACCTGCCTGCGTGTTTGTGTGTCTTTCTATCTACCTACCTACCAATATATCTATCTATCCATCCATCAATCCATCTATCTATCTACTTACCTATCTACCAATATATCTATCGGTGTCTACACACCTACTTGCCTACCTACCTACCTACCTACCAATATATCTATCTTTCTACCTACCTACCAATATATCTACCTACCTACCTACCTACCTCTCTATCTATCCATCCATCCATCTACCTACCTACCAATATATCTGTCTATCTACCAGTATATCTATCCATCTACTTACCTATCTACTTATCTATCCATACATCCATCCAAAAGGTCTGCCTGCCTGCCTACCTACCTACTGATCAATATATCTACCTACCTACCTGTCTCCCTCTGTCTCTATTTATCTATCCATCCGTTCATGTTCGAGGCACCAGCCCCGTAGACACATTGGGAAAGTAGAGCAAAGCCAGTCTGGGAGGGAGGGGGAGGGGGGAGGGAGAGGGGGGAGGGAGAGGGGAGAGAGAGAGAGGGAGAGGGAGAGAGAGGGAGAGAGAGAGAGAGGCCTGATGCATCAGATTGAAATGAGGCCTAGTTTAGACTGAGGCCCTCTTCTACGTTGAAACATCTTTGCCAGTACATTGAAACCTCCTTGGCTTCTATTAAAGGTTTTGTGGACAAAACATGTTCAAGACTATATCAGGAAGCTCTCACATTTTGTTGAGGCATAAACAGGATCCATTGGACCAGACCTCAACCCTAAAAAATTACTTTTCCCCAATGTATTACAGTACCAATTCTGAAGAAGGCAAAACCAAAATGTACTGGTAAATTACGAGAAAGCACACACACACACACACTCCCTTCTAACCTTCTGGAGCAGGTGATTTGGACTAGAATAGATGTCTCATTATCTTTCTCCTCCCTCCCTCCTTCTTTATTTCTTTTTCTTTCTGTCCTTTCCTTCCATCCCCCCCCCCAACTCTTTCTTTGTCTGTCCCTTTTTCTTTCTTTCCCTTTTCCCTTCCTTTTCTTCCAATAGCATTTGGAAGAACTGATATGCCTTAAAGACTGCAATGAAATGCAGAAACAGTCTAAACAGTAGGTACAACTTGTTGTACCAGCCTCCCTGCTACAATGCAGTTTCCCACCTAGGCTCCTGGACCTCCCTGCAGACTGTAAGTAGAGTTCCTCAGGCTTATAGTTCTCGGAAACTTCAATTTGCCATCCCTGGGGGCGGGGTCAGAGGTAGCTTGGAATGTCATGGAAAATATTACTTCCATAAGCCTATTACAGGTCATCCAGAACCTGAGTAAGAATAATAGTTGAATACATGATTTGGTGTTCTAGTTGAAGCAATGCCTACATGATCGGGAATTGGTGGACCTATCTTTGGTCCCCCCGTCACATACAGATCACTGTCTGGTACTGATGAGTTCTCCAGAACTATACCCTCTGTTGGAGGCAGGACCTATGGTGACTAATGGACTTGGATGGGTTTCAGAAAGAACTGGAGGTTATTACTGAAGGTATGTCTGAGGTCTTAGTCACCACTAGGAATAGGAACGTGATTGAGGCTCTGAATAGGATTGCATCCATGCAACCTCTCTTAACACATAGACATGTTTGTCCCTTGTGGTTTATGGAAAAATTAAGAAGGATGAAACAGATGAAGAGACATTCTAGAGCACTGTTGGGAGAAAATGAGGGATGAATTTGATCGAACACAGGTAAGAGCTGCTATTAAAGCCCACCTCGCAGTGATTCAGGTAGCAAAGTATAAGTACTTCTCTGCACTAACCGAATCTGCAGATAATTGGTCAGCAACCCTCTTTGTGAGCCATCTCCTCCAAGTGAAGGAGGACAGAGGTTCACCTGAAGGGACACACTGAAGATTTTGCTGATTTTCTGTAAAAAAAAATAGCTCGGATTGTTCCCATTAAATGTCAGTATGGTTGCTGATCAAATGGAGGCATCTGGGGCAGGTTCCTGCTCAGGTATCTGGGAACAGTATGATCCTATTGCTCCTGAAGAGTGCACAGGATCCTAAGGAGTATAAGTGCAAACCATTTGTATTTTAGATCCATGCCCCTCCTGGCTTGTCAAAGTTTCTCAAGAGGTGACATGCAAGTGGGTTCTGGCAGTAATTAATGCTTCCTTGTAGGGAAGATATGTCCAGGACTTAAAGACATTAGTCCACCCTCTTCTTAAGAATTCATTGCTAAACTCTAGCATAACCTTTGTCCTGTCTCCAATCTTCCCTTTCTGGGGAAGGTTGTTGAGAAAGTGATTGTGTGGTAGCTCCAGAGGTTTCTGGAAATGGATTATCTAGATCCTTTCCAATCAGGATTCAGGACATGAGATGGAAACAGCATTGGCCACTAGAGGTAATTTTGATGACTTCTAGTGGGAGTGGGATGGGAATAATGCATCCATCCTTACTCTACTTGACCCCTCAGTGGCCTTTGATATTATCAACCATGGTATTTTTCTGGAGTAGCTTTGGGGATGGGGGTGGGGGCTCTGTGTTGTCCTGGTTCACTTCCCGCCTTTATAGTTGCAGTCAGTCAGTGCTGATAGGAAACAAACGGTCTGGTCCTCATCTCCTGCTTTGCAGTGTGTTTAGAAATTTCTCCAGGGCTTAGAAATTTATCCACATCTACATGAAGCCAATGGATGAGATCATCCACCACTATGGACTAAGACAGGAGTCTCCAACCTTAGCAACTTTAAGACTTGTGGACTTCAACTCCCAGAATTCCTCAGCCAGCAAAGTCTTAAAGTTGGGCTAAGATATCATCAATGTACTGGTGACATTCAACTATGTGTCTTGGCTCACACTGAGTTAAGCGATGCCATAATCTTTTTTTTGCAGTGCTTGGAGACAATTAAGGCTGGATGGAGACAAACTGAAACTGAACTCTGGCAAGATGCAATGACTTGGCATTTTGAGTTCTTTGGTCCATAGAAAATTTCATCTTTGATCTTGGATGTGGTAGCACTGCCCCAGTCAAGCCCAGTGCATAATCTGGGCATTCTCCTGGATTCACTAATCCTGTTAAGGAAGCAGGTAGCAGTCATGGCCAGGAAGGCATTTGCACAACTGCAACTTATGCACCCGTTACAAACTTTTCTGGCTCAACAATCCCTGCTTACAATCAATCATGCCCAAGTCTCCTCTTGTTTTGACTATTGTAAAACACTCTATATGAACTACCCTTGAAAAGTATCTGGAAACTTCAATTGGTTCAGCAATCCACATGGTTTTGCATATGTCTATGTGTGCACATGTGCCATCTCTCCTGCAGGAGCTGCATTGGCTGCCAATTTGCTTCTGGGTCCAATTCAAGGTATTGGTTGTCACCTTAAAACTCTATAATACTTGGGACCTGGTTATTTGAAGGAGCATTTTCTCCTGGTACCTGACTCACAGAATGGAAGGCAAAGAATGCTGTAGGTCCCCTCTCTTAAGGAGGTCTCTTTGCAAGACCCTGAAGACCTGGTTTTGCCAATGGGCTTGGGGAACCCAGAGTGGGATGAAGCACATAAGTAGCTTATTGACTGACTGATTGTTGCTGCTGGGGGGGGGGGGGGGGGTTTATTGCTTTTTATTATTTTATATTGGATTTTTATCTTTGTAAGCTGCCCAGTTACTGAGAGTGAGTTGGGCAACTGTATAAATTTTCATAAACAAACACATTTAATACTTTTGAATCAGTGTTGACTCCTGGAAATGAATGAATTAAATTAAATGTGTTTGTTTTTGTATTTTTGAATCAGTGTTGACTCCTGGTGGCTACCTTGACTAATTCCTGTAAGGGTGGGGGGGGGGGGGGGTTGTTGACAAGGTTATTTGGAAATTGTGTGCCATTTCTTCTTCCTAGGGGTAAGAAAAGGGGACTAGCCCAAATCACACACCTGGTTTGTGCCTAAGAAGGGAATAGAACTTATACTCTCCTGGTTTTCTAGCCTGTTGCCTTAATCACTAGACCAAACTGGCTTCATATGTAATTGGGAGAAGAAAAACAATATCTTTTAAACATGTAATCTTGATTGTTGTTGCAACACTTACATCTGTTTCTGTGATTTTGCTGAATGATTCCTTTATTCTTGAACACCACCAATTTTCAACTTTCTTCCTGGTCTCTGATGTATAATTTTGTTCCCACTTTCCTGTTTCACTAAAAATAGTTCTGCTCCATCTTAGGATTCGCCTATTCTGCCATTTAGTTGGATCTAGTACTCCATTCAGTTGTTTTCTCCAACATGATGGATACAAAAATACCATATTGCAACGGAACATTCTGTGCAGAATATGTTGGCAATCCTATTGAAGACAGGAAGTAATTTTTATTTCAGTAATAATTAGGTCTCAGGAGAAGATGGATTCATTTAGTTTTTTAAAAAGATTGTACTTTTTTGAGAATTAATAGTAAAACTTATCATAGGTTTACAATCTATCTATACATCAGTCTTTATTAATACTTTGATTGGGTTAGATGGAACTGTGTTATTATAATAAAGTATATTTGAGTCAAAAGGCAACAAAATAAGCAAACTGATGTTATAAATTATTGCATATTTTCTAAACATTATTGCTGTGCAATATTTTCTATGGAAATGAGAATACATTTAAAATAAACAAAAAAATTAATTGCAGGCATATCAATACAACTCTACTGTAATTGTGCTTTCATGAAATTTGTTCACCTATAATCCTGTAAATATAATAAATATTGGCAGTGTGCCACAAAATGCAAAGGAATGTTTGTTAGTTAAAATTTACATGTTGAGGACACCTCTTGAAATGAGTTTAACACTTCAGAATCACAAATTGAAAAAGTATAAATGATATCTCTCATATTAATTGCTGTTGAAATCTTCCTTTAAGAGATAAGTTTTTACTCTACTAAAAGATTTTTTTTGTAAATATAGACAATTCACAATTGAATATTGAATTTCCTAGTTATACAACCCTTTTTCATTACAGCAGAAAATAGAGACAAAAGTCCAGCAGGAATATAGCAAGTGCATAATTATATATGAAAGGAAAAAATTGCAGGTGCCATTTGCTTCTGTGAGACACAGGTAAGCATTCAACCGATCACTGAAATTTGATTTCATCTGATTTACATTCATGACCATTTTAGTTAATCTGCTTATAATCTACTAAACTGCCATATATATTAAGCGCAGTTGAATGTTATAATACAGAATAATCCCACAGGCTATAAATTACTTTTTGTGTCAAATTTAGAATACATGTCCTTATAATTATATTAATACTTCCGGGCCTCTTCAACTACTGCCTTGAGCAGGCGTAGGAAACCTAAGGTATCTAGAGCCGCGTTTCTTAAACTTGGTAACTTGGGATGGGAGGAGAGAATGTTGCAAGTAGAGGAAGAGAAGCAACATTTTTAGAGCAGTACTTACAAAGGAATAGGAAGGAGCGTGGTTCACATGTCACACATCAACCAGAATGGGCGCTGCCATCTTACTTTGTGCTCCTCCTTCGGCGAGTAATAAAAGGCCAGCTCGCGCAGGCGCACAACCACCCCAGTAACTTGATAGAATTAGAAAACCTGTGCTCTTTGAGAAAGGGTTGGGCATTGATTCGACTAGGTTGGAGTCTCGGGAGTCCTAGGAAAAAAATGTGGTTTGAAATGTTTAGCTTGCTCTCCCTCCTCCTTTTCCTCTTTTTCCTTGTTCTAGGGAGAAATACTTCCTAAAGGAAAACGCTTTCTAGATAGTTCAAACTGTTTCCCCTACTTTATTACGTTTCTGTTCTTCGAAAATACTTGTGTACGTTCTTTCTTGCCAGGATCCCAAACTACGTTTTAATTGTGGAACTGCCCAATTTTTTTTAATGGAATTGAGTACTTTTTATAATTTTGCAATTACAATCTTAATGGGTTTTTTCCTTTATTGGATCGGTTATAAGATGATGGTAGTATCTCAGTGGTATTACGCAGTCTTATCATTTATTATCTGATTATATTTTTGTTTTTCCTCTGCAAGCTGAATGGATAAACATTAACAACATTCATTATTTCTGTTTCCCACTTTATCATCCTTGGAAAAACGTGGCATTGCATTCTCCGATAAATTTGAATCCGGTTGTGTGTTAATTTTTCTTCCAAAGTTCGAGGGGGAGGGGGAACAAAAGACAAATCAGACTTGGAAATTTGCACTTCTCTGGAAAAACAAAAAATTGTATTTTTTTAGCAACTGAATATGGCAAAACAATATTGCCACTTTAAAAAATAAAATGTTATGCAGAGTAGGATGCTATATAAATTATAGGTTTCTATTCTTCCGTTCTCCCCCTTTTGGCATTGATTGTGTTAGTTTTTTTAGAATATATTTTTATTAAAAGTTTTTTTCTTAATACAGATAGTCCTCAACTTATGACACAACTGAGCCCAAAATTGCTGTTGCTAAGTGAGAGATTTGTTAAGTGAGTTTTGTCCCATTTTGTAATCTTTCTTGCCACAGTTGTTAAGTGAATGTTTGCAGTTAAGTTAGTAACATGGTAAGTGAATCTGGTTTTCCCCGTTGACTTTGCTTGTCAAAAGATGGCAAAAGGTGACTACATGACTTCAGGACACTGCAAAGCACCTGAATTTGTGACCATGGATATGCCACAAAGGTCGTACGTGTGAAAAATGGTCATAAGTCACTTTTTTCTGTGCTGTTGTAATTTTGAACAGTCACTAAATGAACTGTTATAATCCTCATGCAGGAGGATTTCCTGCATGAAATAGAAAAATAAAGACAATGGAAAAAGAGGGAATGAAAGGGGACAGAGGAAATAAATTGAGGAAAGAGGAAAAAGAAAAGGAGCTTCTGGGGGATTTTCAGTGCAGTAAAAGTATACAAGGTACACAATAAAATTATAGTACCAATTTTTTACTTATATCAAACAGTAATTACTAGCCATTTTTATAGCAGTAACCTACTTATTTGTGAAAACCAAAAAATATAATTTTCATTTTTTTCTCTTTCATGTGGAAAGGCCCAGAAGCAGTTTCCAAGTAACCATAAAGCTATTTACATTCCTATCCCTACTCATGCAATCAACTCTGTCTGCCATTTCCATCATTTTTCATTTTTTTCAACTCATTTCTCCATTTTGGACATTAACACTTCCCATTGTTGAGCATATAGAATTCTTGATGTAGCAACAAAGTTCCATTTTCCCCAATTCTTTCTCTAATAATTCTAGAAAAACAGTTTTCGGTTTCCATTGTAAGTCCTTTTTTTAAATCTTCTGATTAAACTATGAATCTATTCTCAATATGTCCACCACATATGATAATTCAGCATAAATTTCAGTCCTTTAATCCACATATTTTCCTATTGCTCTAACATAACAATTTCTTGCCCATTGAATCAAGCGATGTTTAACATTTTCACTTTCTAAAATTAACTAAAAAGCTTGTTTATAAACTTTAGCTGTAATGTGGGAAGTATGATTCTTTGTTCTTTGTGTACGTGCTAGGACAACGGAGCCTTCTGGTGGTTGGCTGGAACACGGAGCAAGGAGCAAAGACAAATTGTTGCCATTTCTAACCAGAACTGTAGCAAACTTAAACTCTGCAGCCTTGTATGCTTTATGCGAATGATCAGTGCATGTTATGTGATGTAATGCGTTTGTGATAGGACGTTAACAAAATTGCTACGTTAACAAAGATTGCTTCTAATAAAAGAGGGTTTCGGAGTTCTCTCTGCGCTCTCATCCCAAGACAACTTTGCGTAGTGTCTTCTTTTCATGAGAGACCACCACAATTGGTGACCCTGACGTGATCCACTCAAAAGTGATACATCTTTGGCACACCCATTCTCATCGTCTGGAATAGACTTGGTGCACCCCATCCGCTTGAATCGCTGGCGACAACGGATCCCTCGTGAGTATGGGTGGTAGATTCTCTAAGGAGCAGGCAGCTCACATTCAGGAAATCAGAGAATTGACCAAAAGATTTTTTTTTACCTTTAAAAAGGGGGGCTCCCTTCGTGCCCCCCTCCCAAAAACCTCTATTGAGGAACTCCTAGAATACATTTGGCAACACTGCCCTTCTTATCCGGCTAAAGGCAGTATCAAAACTACAGTATGGAAGGAGATTGGAAAATACCTTCATGCAAGTCCTAGGGCCCCTTCGTCTATATTAATTGCTTGGAGGGTGGTTTTTGAGGCTCTCCTCTCTAGAGCAACCCCTACTTGGCCCCCTTTCTGGACCCCCTCCCTATGTGAATCCTGCTGTACAACTCTTGCCCCCCGCTGTGGCGCCTGTGTCTCTTAAACCGACTGCCCCCCCCCGAGGCAAATGAGGTCGGTAAACCTCCCTCCCTTCTCCTGACTCCCCCCCACCCAATCCCTCTTCTTCTTCTCTTGCTCTCCCTTCTGTGCCTTCCTCTCCTGCCTTACCCCCTATGGGCGCGGTTCATGCCGCCATCGCTGCGGGAGTTAGAACTGGCGAGTTAGATCACTCTGACTGCCCATTGGCATTCCCGTTAGTTTATGCGCAGAACGCGCAGGGACAAAACGTCCCACACTGGGAACCCATCCCTGTTAAATCAATCAAGGATATCAAACAAGCTGTACAAATGTATGGTATTCAGGCTCCATTTACGATGGGATTATTTAGAATGATGGCTAACACCCATATAATGATCCCAGCTGATTGGCATAGCCTTTTTCATATGACTCTAACAGGGACTCAATTTGTTGTATGGAAATCGGAGTTTCTCCATCATTGTCGCCTATTGGCAGCTCAAAATCCGAATCTTACTGCAAATGAACTGGCAGGAGAGGGTGCCTTTGCTGCTCCCACAGCTCAATATAATAGCCCTATTAATGCTCTTAACCTTTCTGCACAAGCCGCTCTGCTTGCTCTCTCTCACTTGGATGACCCTCATACCTTCGCACAATCTTTTGCAAAAATTCTACAAAATTCCAATGAACCCTATGCCGATTTTATTGAATGCCTCCAAATGGCCCTACAAAGGCAAATTACAAATGAGGCAGCTCGGCAGGAAATTTTTCTTAAATTGGCATATGAGAACGCTAATGCAGACTGTAAAACCTTGCTTACTCCCTTGATTAATTCTCCAGATGCCACTCTAGCCCAATTCCTACAAGCCTGCAGGGTGGTGGGAACACACCAATACACTTCCAAAATGATGGCTGCAGCTATTGCCAGAGGTAATAAGCCATCTGGTAATTGTTACAATTGTGGGAAGCCCGGCCATTTTAAATCACAATGTCGAGCCCCCGGTGGGGGGGGGCAGCAAAGCCCTCCGCCAGTAGAGATGTTCGACCAAAAACAGTCTGCCCGAAATATAAGAAAGGTATCATTGGGCTAATCAATGTCGATCAAAAACTGAACCCTCGGGAAACGAGTAGAGGGGCCGGCAGCTAGCCCCTCTCCCAAGGCTGCCCATATACCATCCACTGTGTATGAATTATCAGTGGCAGAAGATGTGCTCATATCCTTTCCCCATCTACCACTCTCTGTCGGTGCACAGCTTCCTCCTCCTGCCTCCTTCTCCTCCGATAAAACTGCTCTTATACAATCTCACCCTCATGCCCTCCTCAAAGGAATCTCTGTGGTTCCCAATCTGCTTTATCCTTCCTCAAAACTCTCAACCATTAACCTTTCTGTGCTATCCACTCTTCCAACGAAGTTACAAAAGGGTGATGTCGTAGCAAAAATGATCATGATACCGCAACTTCCCTCTGATGTGCTTGCCCTCACTAGATCTATCACCGAAACTAAGCCCACACTCTTGGCTTTAATCAAAGGTCGCCGCTTCACCGGTCTTCTGGACTCTGGTGCTGACATCTCGGTGATACGCTCTGACGAGTGGCCTACAGACTGGGAAACAGAGACCTCCCCATCGGTAAGAGGTGTAGGAGGGATTCAAACGGCTCGCATCAGTAAGTTTTGGCTCCCTGTGACTTCTGAAAACCTCACAGGGACTGCACAAATAAAGCCCGTCATCCTCCCCCTTCACATGAATTTGTGGGGGAGGGACTTACTCTCTCAATTTGGTGCTAAATTGCAGCTAGAATGACTCACCCTCTTCCCCTTCGCTTGACCTTAACCATGGACATTCCTGTTTGGGTTGATCAATGGCCGTTGCCAGCAAATAAATTGCTTGCATTACAGCAATTAACAGCCGCATCCGCTGCTACTATTCTATCCACTTTCTCTCTTTCTCCCCTAACCCCTTGGGACAGTCATAACTATTTTCATCAAAATAAAAGGGCTCTTATGAAGGAATTCCAAATCACCGCCCAAGAGGCTGCTGCAATTATTCAATAATGCCCTACTTGCAGCAAGCAAGCCCCTGCCCTGCCAATGGGAGTAAATCCCAGAGGCTTAAAAGCCTGCCAAATTTGGCAAATGGATGTAACCCAGTATGCGCCTTTTGCACCATGGAAATATATCCATGTTTCAGTGGACACATACTCAGGGTTCATCATGGCCTCCCCGCAAAGAGGAGAGACCACAAAAAATGT